AGCAGGAACCATTAACCTTCGCCCAACCCCCAAGCACTGCGTTTGTCGAGGATGCACATGTTTTCCTCCTACCACTTCCCATTGCCAGGTAAGAGTATTAAATCCACTTTCAAGTAGACAAAGGTAGTTTAGTTGCATACATAGTTGAAGTTATAGAAATACTCTACAGAACTTTAAAAAATTATTTTGCAAGTAGAGTCAAAGCTATCTCCACTTCTATAGAGTTCATTTACAAGAGGTACCAGTTTTAACCCTTTAGGAACACCAGTTTTGCATGGAAGGACTCCGCCTAACACCCAGCTTCAGAGGTGGGAATCCACCGGCTGCTGTTGCTGAGCCGTGACCCCATCTCAGACCAGTGTCGGTAAAGCACCCACTGAAGCACCCACCAGAAACCTTTGCCTGAACTTCAGTCAAGGATCGATGGGCTCCAAAAAGCTTTCTCTAGTTTGAATGAGCGCTTGCAGGCTCCTCTCCATCTCTTCTGCAGTGGGCAAAGCACTGGGTACAGGTGCACCTTTCCTCAAACATCTGCTTCCAGAAGATGACTTTTAAGTTAAGTTGGAGGCAACCCAAATAATTGTTTCAGTGCTCTTTGTAATTTTGGGGCCGTCACGGAAAAGAATTTGAAAAGCAGCAAGATGAAAATCCTTTTTCTTAATTGAACCATAAGTTTGTGCAACCGTCCATCACCAATATAATACAGTATGTAAGAGCACAGAGAAAGCATACGGTACAGCCTTGCTAATGCTGCTTAAAGAAACTTTAAAAGCAAATAAAAAAATTAAAGCTTATGTCCTCTTATTACATTAAAAGTAGGGCCTTTTATCTTTGCATGCAAATACCAAACTACTGTGTCTTAACCTACATAAAGTAGGTCTTCTCTTTGCTGAACACATAAATAGCACAGCGTGCATTTCCAAGCTTAAGTAACTTGAAAGCTTCCTTCTGACTGACTGTATCCCTTTTATTGCAATTTGGTCCCTATCCTGATCCTTTCACTTTTGCACTGAAGCTTTAAATATCTCAAAATCTTAATGATAAATTAAAGGAAACAGCCAACAACCCCAAAACTCTTCAGTCAAGATTTTAAACTTGTAATTTTGAAAAAGTAAGTCATTTTACTATGTCCCCTTAAAATATATGAATAAACAAAAAATCCCAATATTTTTACATAACAAAATTGGAGGGGGAGGATATGGAATGATATATCTCAGCTCTTGCTAACTTTCAAGAATGCTGTGGGGTGAAATGTTCTTTTTTTAATTTAAAAGTCATTTCAGGTTACAGCAAAAGGTTTACAAAAGGAGTTAACTTGGAAAGCAATGAGCATGTAAAAACAAGGAGGCTATAACTAAAAATGTGGTTTTGATCCTAATTATACTGTTTGCTACCAAGAAAA